CATGGGTGTGAAGCCGATAGTTTGGTTACTCAACCTCTGTGAGCCTCAGTTCCCTCATCTATAAAACTGGATGAGAGCTGGGCATGGTGGTGCACACCTTTTATCCCAGCACTCAGGAGGCAGAGGCAGGCAGATCTCTGTGAGTTCAAGGCCAGCCTGGTCTACATAGTGAGATCCAGGGCAGCTGGAGCTACAGGGAGATGTCTCAAAAAAAAAAAAAAAAAAAAAAAAAAAAAGGAAAAGAAAAAAAGAAAAAAAAATGGATGAGAACAGTAATTAATTTGAAGTTTATTAAAAGATGCAAAGACTCATTCCATTGTGCCTAGCAAGAGTAATCACTTTTTGTCCCTGTCCATTTACTAGTACTGTAACAGAATACCTGGGGATTCATACATTACAGTTTATAAAGAGAAGACATTTGCTTGGCTCACAGTCTGGTGCCTGTCTAGAGACGGTATCCATACTGTGTCATACTGGTGGGATAGGGGGACAGAGTGTATATGAAAGAGGAAAGGGAGGCACAGCTCAGCTGCCAGACCTAGGAGCACATGAAAGACATGGTCATTCATGTAACTGCAGAAGAGGTGAAGGCAGGAGGATCAGAAGTTCAAGGTTAGCCTTGATGACATTACCAAGTTCAAGGACAGCTTGGGCTATATAAGTGATTCTGAAAGATAGCAAGAAAAAGAAAGAGAAGATGGAATTATTTTATAACAAGCTACTCTAGTGATAACTCCCACTAGTACAGCATCAATCCATTCTAATGACCTAAACTCTTCCCATTAAACCCTGCCTGCCAACACTGCCCCAGTGGGAATGAGAGTTTCAACACATGAACCTTTGGGGGACACACCAAAGTACAGCCTGTGTTATGAGGGAACCTTCATACAATCTTACAGGAAGTGAACTCTCAGCTGGGAACCCCAGGCACCAAGTTGTACGTCAGTGTGGCGGGGCTGATGCCAGAGACACAGCTCTGTCCTGCACCTGCTGCAGCCTGAGGATTTATTCCCAGGGACATCCACCAATGTGAAACCCGGATTCTTGACTTTGCTGCAGAAAAGAATTTCAGGATGAACTAGTTGAACAGAGTTGGAGTTTATTAAAAATAAATTTTAGCCGGGCGTGGTGGCGCACACCTTTAATCCCAGCACTCGGGAGGCAGAGGCAGGCAGATCTCTGTGAGTTTAAGGCCAGCCTGGTCTATATAGTGAGTTCCAGGACAGCTGGGGCTACAGGGAGACCCTGTCTCAAAAAGACAAAAAAAAAAAAAAAAAAAAAAAAAAAGATTGAGCATGTAATGTTTAATGTTTTCTGTTTGTTTGGTCTTGGGTTTTTGAGACAGGGTTTCATGTAGACAGAAACTCACTATGTAACCAAAGATGACTTTGAATACCTCATCCTCTTGCCTCCACCCTGCCCCAACCTATCCCCCACCCCTCAGAGCTGGAGTTAGAGGTATGTGCCACCACAGTCAGCTCAGTGTGTTATGTTTATAATTAAGGGGGAAGAGAGCAAATGTCCCTTAAGAAATAAGTTGTCAGGTACACCTTTAATCCTAGTGCTTTGGAGACAGAGGCAGGCAGATTTCTGAGTTCAAGGCCAGCCTGGTCTACATAGTGAGTTCCAGGCCAGCTGGAGCTGCAAAGAGACTGTCTCAGTAGAAGAAAAAGAATAGCAGACTCATTTGACAACTCTCAATTTTCCATTTAATCCTTCCAGCCCCTTTTCTTGTAACTTTGTCTGATTTCAGGAACTTTTTTGTGCCATGATCTGCAGAAAGCAAAGGGGGAGTGTGAGACTGGGTGTTCTTGGAAGGTTCAGAAGGTCTTCTTCTCCAAAGAAGAAGCCCAGCTGGTGGTGTGCTTGCCCTGGAGGTGTGGGCCCTTGGGTTCCAGGACCACACACTGGAACACAGGTAGGGTTTCTATAAACCACATTTTTCTTCCTGTAGAAGCAAGGCATCAGGCACAGCAGGTCCCCACCCAGGCTGGTTCCCACTGGCCTCAGAAAGTCCTGGAAGAATAACTCTAGGTTGTTGCTAAGATATCTTTCAGAGTTACCTCTAGGGACAAGAGGAGGAGTAGGGCAGAAATAACTGACTGAAGATCGCTTGAGTGTTCAAAGTAGTCACCAAATAGAAGCAGGAGCCCCAGTCAATTCCTTCCCCACCAAACATTGCATCACAGAAGACCTACCTAGCATTAACTAGGTCCTGGCTTCCATCCCCAGCACCAGAGAAATAAAGCAATGCAGCAGGCTGATTCAACTTGGGTTCAAATTGTGACTCTTCATCTATTTACCCAGCTGGAAAGTGGAAATGAAGGTGCCTGTTTCTCAGGGTGCACAGAGGACTGAATAAATGGATGCATGCAAAGCATTTCACCCAGAATAACCAGACAAAACAAGCCATGTGGCAGCCTAGACAGAGGTGTGCATGCTCCATGCTCCACAGGGGACTGTGGAATTTAGGAACCTGGCAAATGAGATCCTGTTAACTAAGTCTGCCAGGATGTTTGTTGTTTGCTTTTGGTTAACTCAAGGCATTTCACCCTTACAACAATCCCACAAGGGGGTCTCTCATAGGAAAACTGATGTCCCCACCTTGCCTGGGCCCCCCTGGCCCAGCTGAAGTCTTCCTGGAACAGCACTTTCAACTACATGGAGTGGAAGTCATGACAGGGTGTTTTATAATACCGTTAAACCCAAACCAAAGGTGATGACTGTTTTTTTCCTCCCTGCATCAAGACCCACATCCCCTTAGTGGCCCAGGAAGAGGTGACAACATTTAAACCTAGTAGAACAGGACCTCGGGTCAGAAAACCAGAATCTAGTCCTGGTTTTTTTACTAGCCAGCTGTGTTGACTTGGAACTTGACCTCTGGGTTGTACAGGAGGCTGAATAGTGCCTTGGGTCCAAGAGTTGCAGGAAATACCCTGTGAGACTAGAGTTCTGGGGTTGAGTCACCAAGAATGTCCCCAGACCTGCTCTGTACAATTTCCCTTGCTGGGCACCACCAAGGTTCTAGAATATTCCAGACCTCGGCCAAAACTTTGTTTTTATTGATAGATGGTTGATGGCAGGCCATAATAAGAGCTGGGGAACCACATCTAAACCAATTTTTTAGCCAGGCTTGGTAACTGGCCTGTGCTCCCAGCATTTGGAAGGCTGAGACAGGAGGACAGCCACAAGTTAGAGGCCTGAGTGCAGGCTGTCAGTCAACATGGAGAATCTACTTGAAGTTAATATGTATTCATTTATTCAGCAAATATATTTTGGGTGGCAACTGGCTTGGGGTCCTAAGGTACACAGGAAATGGGTCAAGTTAGGGTAGAAAGTCCAGGGGCAGGGCGAGCGCAAGGGCCCTAGGGGAGGAGCTAACAGTACCGAGCAAAATGGGGTTAAAAAGGAAAGAACTGGGCTTCAAGGCCTCATCCATCTAGATATACGCGCCTTTCTGTTTTGCTAGTGAAAGACCCAACTGACAGCAGGAAGGCCATTTTAGAAAAAGAACTGTAATCAGCCATTCGATAAGCCAAGATTCTAACCCAGGTCTTGTGAAACTAGCAGTGGAAGATAGGACATTTGCAGTCGGACCACCTGCCACCACCCTGAGGCCCCTATCGGGAAGTTAACGATAACAATCGGTTTCACCCATAGCCCCCTCTGAATTTGGCAATACTGTTTCCTCATACCTTGTACCCATTGAAATGCACTAATAATAACCTTGTAACCGTGTATCTGCTTCTGAACCTTGCTTCTGCTCTATAAAAAGCCCCCCCCAAACTAAGCCCGGCACGCAAGTCCTGACCCGAGCGGGACTCTGCGTCCGCAGGCGCCTGTGTATGAATAAATTCCTCTTGCTTTTGCATCCCGAAACTTGGTTTTGTCCCTGTGTGTTGAGCGCGATTCTTCACTAGTTTTGCTAGAAGATTTTCTCATGGGAGCAGCACCTCAGGACCGGCGCCTTCCAGCACAGAACCAGTGACCTGTATATCAATTCCGTCTTTTTCCAGTATTTTATTTATTTTGTGGTGCTGGGGCTGGAACCCAGGGCCTAGCGCAGGTGCTCTACCACGGAGCTTCGGCTCCAGCCCTTCCAGTATTTTATAAGCAGCCGTTTTCCAACGTACAAAAAAAGTTGGAAGAGAGTGAACGCTCACCTTGAGCTCACAGTGAATTTTCCACTGCATGGACTACATTCTTGCTTTTCAACACCATGCTCCTCCCAGGGCTGTTTCAAGGACCCAGCAGCTGCAGTGTCCCCTGGAACAGAGAGCTGGGGGACCGGAGCATGGCAGGGAAGCCAGGGCAGCTCAGCCCGGAAATGTGGCGCTCCGGGAATTTGCCAGGGTGGAGTAGGGGTAGTAAGGATCCCGGGCACCTGAAAACAAAACTCTGGCGAAGCAAGTCCCGGGCCCTCTTCCTGTGTGGTCCCCACCCAAGTTCATTCGATGACCCGAGTCCCGTGGTTGCTTCGGGCTAGACGGGCCGGGGATCCTTGTGCTTGGCTTCGTGGTGCACCGGCAGCGATGGCGATGGCGGCGCTGTGGCCCGCCCCTGAGCCCGGGAACCCAGATGACAACCGCGATAGAGCCTTGGGGCTGGGACCGCCCGGTCTTCCGCAGCCCCGCAGCCTGCCGCGCTCCTGGGGGACCTGCAGTCCTGGGCCGGCAGCGCGCAGTGCACCCGCCGGGGTTGCGTCCTGCGGTCGCAGAGGGCTCGGGCCGGTCTAGAGGGTCCGCGAGCCACCCCAGACGGAGGGGCGCCTCCTCCCCGGCCCGGCAGGACTGGGCTCGGCTCACAAAGCCCTCCTCCCGGCCAAGGTGGAGGAAGTTGGGCTCCCGCCTGCCCCGGAGGCGGGAGGGAGCCCGCGCCTGTTGTTTTCCGCCAGCCTGGAGGGAAGGGCGCAGGGGCGAGGTGCGCTCCCCCAGGCGATCATCCGGCTCGGCTGGAGCATCCTTCCCCGGGAGCCCCTCTGCTCCGGCCCCGGAGTCGGGGGGAGCCCTGCAGACCCAGTTCAGCCCTGCCTTGCGCTGCCCGAGCGAGGATCTGGGGCGCGATGGCCGCGGGCTGGGAGCTCCGCGCCCTGCTCTGTCTCGGGGCGCTGCTGACTGGCGGGGTTTCTGCAGGTAAGGGTCCCGCCATCCCAGCCTGAAGTTGAGTTTTCCCAGGCAGCGGTGGGGAGGGAACTGGCCGGGACTGAATTCCCTGGGAGCCACAGCGGGAGAGCCTGGAGCTTGCCGTTCCCTGCTCCTAGGAATTTTCCTCAGTGCTCAGAGGAGGGCGAGGTATCCTGGCCCCGGAGATGGGAGCCGGGCCTGTGGAGATGATGGGGGGCAAAGCGAAGAGCAGGTGTGTGGTGGTGGTGGGGATTAAAAAAGCCTTTTCTTTCCCGTTCCTTTTAAAGCTCAGGTGTAAATTTGCAGTCCGGTTTCGCCTGCTTCCAGGCTCCCACTTTTATTTTCGTCTCCTCCCAGGCTCAAGATTGGACTGGCCTTACACCTGTAACCTGTGGATTTATTTCCACACACACGCCTGCCTGCCTCCCTGTGCGTTGAAAGCCCGCCGCCTTCTTCCACCTTTTTCCTCCTTTTCTTTTAACTTTTTGATTTAAAATAATTTAAGATTTAACCAGAAACTCCCCTCACTTTAGATCTGATTGGGGAAAGGTCTTAAATCTTTTCATCTGCACTGACCTTACCGAAAGTAGCAAGATATGTAGAATGTGTAAAGATTGGAAAAGTATGTTTTTGTTTAACTCTTCAGCAGTGAGAATCTGTGTGCAGATACAGATTCTCACAGATTGGGGGAGTTGAAGCCAGGAGGTGGGTAATTTCCCTGTGTTTTCTGGTGAAGCCCACCCACCTGCTCTCTTTGTGTAGAACCTGGAAGTAGGTTGTTAAATTGTACTTGAACTTTCTAGCCGCAAGTGGCAAAAGTTCCTAATTATTATACTCTTACAATTAATTAATTTAAAAATATTTTATTATTTCTGTTTTATGCGAATGGCTGTATTGCCTGCATATGTGTAAGTGCATCCATGTACAATGCCTGTGGAGGTCAGAAGAGGGCGTTGGGTTCCTTGTTAGCTGCCACATGAGTGCTGGGACCTGAACCCTGGTCCTCTGCAAAAGCAGCCAGTGCTCTTAACTGCTGAGGCATCTCTCCAGCCCCCTAATTAATTTTTAGCAACCATATAAAATCAGTAAACTTTCCTGTAACCTATATTTCCAGTTTCTTTTGAAGAATCTGGAGGCTTGGCAGCACACAATCTGCTTGCCCACCTGGGACTGGGCAGTGGTCATCCCGCTTTATTCAGGGCATGTGACCCCAAATTTGTTCCACTTTCCCTTGCTCTATTATCCTGGGTTTTTTCCATGGACAGCTTAGCACTAAGCAACACCTCTGTTCCAATCTTGGATATTTCCTGTTGGTGTGCAGGGCATTTGACCTGGTGGTTCTTGTGCTGGAGACAGAAGACTGGAAGTTAAGGTGACTGTCAAGTATTTCCTTCTGGCCATTCTTAGTCCAGTGAAGGCCAGGGGCCTCGGCGGTGAGGATCCTGAGCTGAGATCCCACTGGAATGAACTAGCTTTCAGGAGAACACTTCTTCCCACAAGGAGATACCACCTCCACTGCTGTGCCCTGTTAATAATTTGAGTTTTGGTCTTGCTATGTAGCCCAGGCTAGCCTTGAACTTGTAATCCTCCTGCCCTAAACTCCCTAGTGCTGGGGTTACAGGCCTGAGTGACCAAGCCCAGCCCCTTGCCCTGCACATTTTACACCCCCAAGCCATCAGGCCTGCCTTACCTGTGTGTACCTGGGTGTGTGCATTTTTGCTGTTTGTTTTTCAAGTTAAGAACTGGGACAGATGTTCCAGAGGCTCACCTCGGATATTGCTGATACCTCGCTCTACCTGTCCCTCCACGGTATTCTTCAGGCTGTGTTGGGGAGGTGAATGTTTGGGTGTAACTCCTACTTTTAACATAAGAAGGCTCTGCTGGGCTGGAGTTACAGCCTGGTGGTAGAGTACTTGCTTAGCATAGGGAAGGTCTTGCATCCAAGTCTGAACCCTGAAATGTTGGGGGCCAACAAAGAGTCCCTTGACAATGAATAATGTAGCATTACAGAGTTTACTATGCCTTTACAATTTACGTTTTTATTTATTTGTGTGTGGGAGTGTGGGGATGCCATGGTGTGAATGTGGAGGTCAGACGAAAGCTATAGGAGGGTAGGTTCCCTCCTTTCACCACTTGGGTCCAAGGAATCAAACTTAAGTCATCAGGCTTGGCAGCAATCACCTTTACCTGCTAAGTCATCTAGCAGGCTCTCTTGGCACCTTCTGGTGTGGGCGACTTGAGTAAATCCTTCTGACTCAAGAGTATTCAAGACTCACAGGACAATTGTACATTTCCTAGGGACATGTGCTTGATTTTAATTTGATCCTTTTAGTTTTCTGAACCTCAGTTTTGTTAACAGTGATACTAGGATATATAGGACCCTCAAGCATGGAGTTTGTGCATCTCCAAGAGCCACCCTTGCCTTGTCTGTGGCAGACATCACCAATCTATGACTGTGTTCTCTGGACTTAAGATCTCCAAGGCCACACTCAGCTTCAGTAGTTAGAGAAAGTGGAGCAGGCAGAGCCTGGAGGGGAAGGGCGGTGTCTTCCAAAGGCTCCTTTGGGGCCATAGTCCTCCTGGGAGAAGTAAGCTCAGGTTCCAAGGTTACGGCTGCACCAGGCAGGGCTGTTCCAGGCCTCTGTGCCATTATTCTTTGCCAAGCATGGTGGGGGGTGGGGAAGGGGCAGGTCTGAGGACATTGGTAGCTCAGCAGCTCTTCTTTTGGTTGACATGTGAGAACCTGGGTGTTGGTAGCCTGATCAAAAATGATTCTTTCTTCTTCCTTCCTTCCTTCCTTCCCTCCCTCCCTTCTTTCCTCCCTCCCTCCCTTCTTTCCTCTCTTTCTTCCTTTCCTTCCTCCTGCTCTTTCTCTTTTTTTCCCCAGTCTTTTTGAGACAGGATCTCTCTATAGTACCACTGGCCTGGAACTCGCTATGTAGACCAGGCTGGCCTTGAACTCACAGAGATCTGCCTGCCTCTGCCTCCTGAGTGCTGGGATTAAAGACTTGTGCCACCACTCCCAGCCCTCTCTCCCTCCTTTAAAAATTATTTATTTATTTATTTATTTATTTTTGGTCTTTTTGAGACAGGGTCTCCCCGTAGCCCCAGCTGTCCTGGAACTCACTATGTAGACCAGGCTGGCCTTGAACTCACAGAGATCTGCCTGCCTCTGCCTCCCGAGTCCTGGGATTAAAGACGTGCACCACCATGCCCGGCTTGTTTATTTATTTTTTAAAATTGTAAGTGTATGAGTGTTTTGCCTGCATGTATGTATGTGCACCACATGTGTGCACTGCCTGAAGAGGCCAGATGAGAGTATTGGATCTCTTGGACTGGAGTTCTGGATAGTTGTCAGCAGCCATGTGGGTGCTGGGAACTGAACCTGAGTCCTCTGCAAGAGCAGCCAGAGCTCTTAACTGCTGAGCCATCTGTCCAGTGGCTCACCCTCCTTTTTGAGTAAGGGCCTTTCTATATAGCTCAGGATAGGTTTGAACTTGAGATCAGCTGAATGCTGGGATTACAGGCATGCACCACCATGGATCAGCTGTCACCTACTTTTACATGATCACCCCTAAGTGTTTCTTGCTGCTTGAGATCAGCTAGCATTGATGGATACTTTCCACCTTCCAGACACTGGCCTAGCCTTTTTTCCCCTCCCCATCCTGTCTGGCTTGAAAGCCTTTTTGGAATAGCATAACCAAGACGACCAGAGAGTCAGAGCTTCCTGTGGTTCTTCCTACTTCAGCCTTTCAGAGGGAGCCCAGAATTTCAGGAGAGGCCCACTCAGACACCTGTCACTCCTTCTCATAATAATAGGCATATCTCTCATAGGCAGGTGGCGGTTTATTTTTTTATAGCAGTGTTACTCAGGTGGTGGTTTATTTTTTTATAGGAGTTTTATTGAAGTATAATTTACATACCATAAAATCCACCTTGGGTTGGGGTTATAGCTCAGTTGGTAGTTGGTAGAGTGCTTGCCTGGCATGAATGAAGCTCTGGGTCATATCCCCAGTACCATGTAAAAGCATACCTCTCAGTGCTGGGGAGGTTCAGACAAGTGAATCAGGAGTTCAAGGAAAACCTCAACTACATATTGAGTTCAAGATCAGCTTGGGTTTCTTGAGACCCTGTCATAAAATGAAATGTAAAATAAAACAAAAATGATAAAATAAAATCCATTCTGTTGGGCCAGTGAGATAGCTTAGTGGGTTAAAGGCATTTGCTGCTGAGCCTGAGGACCTGAGTTTAATCCCTGGAATTCACATGGTAAAAGAAGAGAACTGACTCCTAAAAGTTGTCCTCTGACCTCCACATGTGTGTTGTGGTATGGCATATGTTTGCCCCCATGGGTGCATGTGCATGCACGCGTGCACACGCGCGCGCGCACACACACACACACACACTAAAATAAATAAATAAATAAATAAATAAATAAATAAATAAATAAATATCTCCACTCTGTTTGCTGGACATGGTAGTACACACCTTTAGTCCTAGCACTCAGGAAGCAGAGGCAGGTGGATCTCTGAGTTCAAGGCCAGC